CAACGCTACTTGGCAGAGCTAACTGTAGATCCTAGTATGTATGTCTTCGCCTGTCTCTTTATTATTATTATTATTTTTCATATTAAATTCCTTTATTTTTTCTGTGTATGTACATTTTTGTAGTCGTGTTTGCTTTGTATATGGACACTGTGTAGTTACATTTGCATGTAATTAAGTAAAAAACATTATTATTATTATTATTATTATTATTATAATATCATCATCATTGTCATCATTAGACATAGACATAGATTTGGAACAAAAACTCTCTCATACATATTTAATGATATATGTGTTATTAAATACTCCTTTGCCCAGAATTAATGTTTCTTACGTGTTTATCATTTTTTCTCTTCCTATTGCAACGTGGCTCTCAGGTTCCCCCACCCTCCACCCCGTAACAGACAGTGGAGGCCCATAGGATTGTGAGACATCGAGGCTCCGACGTTTTCTAGAAAATCTGCTCGCAGATGGCGGTGAGGTTGTCAGACTCACGCGCCGGTCGCCCTTTACCCTCAGGAAGATTCCTGGTACTCATTTCTGTTAGAGGCCTAGTCGACCCCAGGGCCATAATGCGGCTGGAAGGATTAAGTCAATTGAAAAATCCAATGATCTCATCGTGAATCGAACCCGCGACCTTCCGACTTGTAGCATAGTGTCTCAACCAAGTACGATACCGCGTGCCCCTGGCTCTCAGGGTGGCATTAATTAAATCGGTATTGTGTACATGATACATACTGCATCATCTTTGCCTTTGTTTTATGTACTTGTTTGTTTTGTTTGTCATTTTGCTTGTTATTATATTAATATTGGCCTTTGGGCTCTTGAACTCTCAAAAAATGAATTAATATTGTTATTATTATTATTATTATTGTATGCATTTCCTTGTTTTTTATGTCTTTTGTGTTTGATGTTTCGTTCTTCTCACTCGTGCTTACTTTGTGACTACCCTCTGGGCTCTGTATGTTTCCACGTAAATAAACAACAATGAATGGAAGCCAATGAAATTGAATTAAGTTTCCTTACCGAGGTTCCTTCAACAGTTCTATGATTAATAAATTAGAATGGACGCTGAACGAAGCAGTCGTGGTCTATTTTAAGGAACTATCCAGACATTCTGCTGGAGGAACTGGGAAAACCCTCGTTCAGGATATTCGATGTCTCAGCACAGGGCACGCACCGAATAGAAATCAAGAGCTTTACTGGTTGAGCCAGAGTTATCGGTGTCTTGGCGTCCGGTGGAGGTATTGGCTGCGTAGATTGTGGTTACGACTGTACTGATGAGGGATTGGGTGGCGGGAGGGGGGGGATCACGTCCGATCCTCCTTCTTCAGTCAGCCATTCGACCATCGGAGCATGATATAAAATCCAGGCAGCAACAAGACACAAGTTGAGAGCACGCACCGAGGCGAACACAATACCTGCTTGCGTTCTTTCTGTCCACACCTACACACGTCTGTTTGATTTTCAGCTCGTAGAGTAACCCAGTTGGACCGCCTCTGTTGTCTAGTGGTCAGAGTTACTGGCTACAGATCCAGATGTCCCGGGTGCGTTTCCCGGCGCTACCAGATTTTCTGAGTAGTGTGTCTGGAACGGGGTCCACTCAGTCTCGTGAGGATAAGTGAGGAGCTACTTGAATGGAAAAGTAGAGGCTCCGGTCTAGAAAACCGAGATTAATGGCCTTGGGGATTCGTTGCTCTGACCACGCGACAGCCTCTATCCGCTGAAGTTGGCACCAACTTCGCCGTCAAGCGGCGGCCGCTCAGTCGGTATAGTTCGCTTGCAGACTAAAGCCACGGAGTTTTTTTTTTTTGGAATAACCCAGTTTTTCAGTTCTATCAATGTCTACTCTCTAACGACCGCATCTTCTTGAGGAACTACTTTCTAATGAGTAACGGTGTAATGCTTTTTATGCCTTCAGCGAAAGTTCTGTAGCTCTCGCGTCTGATGCCGCACTGTACGTATATTTAAATGAAGCTCAAAATGAACAGTTACTACATGAAGACAGAGAGAGTGAAAGTAGGTAAGTAAAGTTGTCCCTGGGCTTAACTAATAAGCCCTGCACCATGACGACATATTGGGGAGTGGGTGTATAGAGCCACATTTTCTTGACCTAGGCACTAGTTGGGAGTAGTCAGCCTCACGTCCCGGCCGCATTACCCCAGGGAAATAGCCGGTACCAATTGGATAGGAAGTTGGGTGGGTCTCAGAATCGGTACAGAAGACATGGAGAAGTGAAAATTCTTGATCCTACCTGGACTCGAACTCCGACCCCTTGGTCTTCCAGCCCGTAGCCAGGAGCTATGCTGTCTACGCTATATTGGCTCTTGAGAGAGAGAAATGAATGATAGGTCCTGGTGACAATTCATTTAACCTGGGGGGGGGCTATCTGCTTCGAAAGTTCCCAGGCAGTACATGTTTGTCCTGGTAAAGTCATATTGTAGAGAAGATAATGTGTCGGGGAGTGAACTTTATTATGAGCAGAGGAAATAAGTTGGAGGAGGGGCTTTAATGCATTTTATCGTAACTGTGATATTAATATTTGGAGGGTTTGAATTAGGGTAAAATTTTGAATCATGAAATTTATACAAAAATGAAATTTACTCCTAACGGAAAAGGAAAACGCATCTTAGTGATTTGAAGCGATCGTTTCGGTGTTTGTCTCCTGCGATGTGATGCTATGTAGCCTTGTAGAATTTTGCTGACGTTTCGGAGGAACGTGCTGCCTCTTCTACTCAAAGATAAACTACATGACGTCATATCCGGAGGACAGTAAAGGCGCGTCCACATTACTCCTGCTCGTGTGACTCGCTGTGCTCGCGAGTAATGTGGACGATATAACAAGTCACGAGGCAAGCAAATTTAAATTTTTTAATTTAAAAACTATATAGCCAATAAATTAAAATACGACTACAGCCTATACACACTACGGATCCTCACGCGCCGAAGCGTGGCGAGCAACTGAAGTAGTGTGGACGAAGATTTACGAGCACAAGTAAAAGCCAGACGAGTCTCCTGACAAGCACAAGCACTAATACACAATGCATTTACGTTGCAAACACCAGTAGGGTAATGCTCTTTAGCAAATAGTAGCTACTTATTATCAGAAGTCACAAGGAAAGCATAAACACACTGTCGTGTCGGATGACAGTGTCTAGTCTGTTCTTGTGATCACGGTAATGAAATTTCGGGTTCCATTAAAATTGGAGTATATCTTAATAATACAGTGACCATGAGGTTCTCGAGAAGAAACTTGCTTCGAGGTGTTGGTTGTCATAATTAGAGATATTTCTCTTAAATTATACGGCAGCTCTCGCTTCCCCTAAACAGTAGTTGAAATAAACTCATATTTCCTTAAATGTGCTTTCTCCATTGAAAGAGCGTGTATGTGAGTCGTCCCCAGCGCACAGGCAAAATGCGACAACGTTGAATATGCAAGAAGATTGCGTGGAAGAAAATTCTGAGAAAGCACTTTTCGATATAGCATACAGCAATGATTTTCCTGAATTCTTTTTTTTTTCGTTTTACTTAAAGTCAGGAGATTGGGCGAGTTCAATTTTATACCATTTTACTCTATGCGTTTGTTATGGAAAACTGTTAGAAATTGGAAAAAGTAGGTATTCGAATTGAAGTACCTACTTTCTCTTGACTTTAATTCAGTTTCTTTAGCAGCAAAATGACATGAAGCCTCAGGACACTCTGTGCTTGTTCATCACGCCTTAACTCCTGAGAACAGAGTGGTTACTATATTGTCACGTGATCGACTGACCATAGACGGGGTTTGGACTGGTAATCGGATTTATTGGACTCTTTAACACACAACTCGTGACTGCACTTTACAGGTCACTGTTAGACGCAGACTAGTGTTTTCAGCCAGGGCCTTCACTCCGATGCTTGGTAACGGCTTTCAACAGTGGACGTTCCTCTGCTTCCGAGCTCACGTTCTCGCAGGCTGGAGACCATCTCCCGCCAACCTCCTACTCTTCTAACTGCCGTCTCAGGTCTGTCCGTTTATCAAAGTCAAAGTCAGACTCAAAGATACTTTACTAATGAGGGTTTACCGCCAATCTGTTTGTCTTGGCGTCCAGCCCATTGAGGGCCACGACCAGAGATTCGTTTTCCCCAACTGAACCCCTGCGGTTATAGTCCTTATGTAACATCCTCTCTGACGAGAAGATGGATTTGTCTGTTATGAATATGCTTAGCCTTTCGTCAAGTGTACGTATCGCACATATAGCATGTTATTAAAAATTCTTAAGTATTGCACTACGCACAAGTCCTCTGTCAGTACAAGTTTTGCAGAGAAGATCATGCCTATCTTACTTATCTTACTTATCTTAGTCACATGAACGGCGTAAGCTTGACCACCGCCAAGTTTAAGCTACTTTATGGCTGCTGGTACTCGTTACATAGCCTCCGCACGGACTGCACAGAAAACATCGCTTCCAACAGCTTTTCTACTATTGCGTGTTACATAGCCGTTACCTAATAATGCCTGTTTCTCTGGTTCCATATTTTTTTGATCAAATATGTCAGATTATGAACAACCTGCGTTTTGCCAACATATTGTGATTATGTGTTTCTCATGATTTTCACAAAACAGCAATTATTTATATAAATAATATTGTAACGTGTAGGAGGGTTACACGTGACGAAAGCAATAGGTTCTAAATCGGAGGACTGGATTTATTGTCACTTCGGTTACAACGCGTCTTAATTACAATTGATACCACGCCATGGCTGATTTACACACTTTAAGAGTTCACCGCAGAAATAATGAAATTATTTATCTATTGTGGGATATTTTCTTTGAAGGAATGCAGTTACGTATTTACTGCAGTGGTGCCGCGTAGTGATAGCTTGATTTATTAAGCAGTTGCAAAGCAACGGAGCAAGGAACAGTTACACGCATAGAAATCAGATAGAAACACAGGACAAGAAGCAATGAAACAAAAAATTTGGAATCGAAATATACTGACTTCTTCTTTTTATTTTCAAAGGTCCCCATCTGCTTTGGCTGACACGCAGCTCCAGTTCATGTCCTTATTTCCCTATTTTTGGATGACATCTTCGTTCGAGGCTTCCAGTTCTACACTGAAGATGGAGGTAAGAGGTCCATACGAAATACTTGTTTTTATTTACCGAAGTTTGTTAATCTAGCGGTAATGATTTAGGTTTGAAATCCTCCGTGTACATCGCTATTCTGAGTTATTTCGCGGTTTTCATCAGTCCCTTCAGGAAATTACAGTGATAGTATTTCAATTACGTCACGGAAACTTCATCATTTCCAATTTATGATCAAATAATTATTTACGCTATTTCGTCTAGGTGTTGAAATATTCGTAAGATAACGGACTAATATATACGGCGTCACGTCTCTGACCACGAGACACTCTCTCTCCGCTAAAGTCGGCATTAACTTCGCCGACAAGATCCGGTCGCTCGGTCGGTATATTTCGCTTGCGGACTAAAACCACGGAGTTTCTTTTTTTTTGCTTCGTCCCAGAAGATTGTGATGTTTGGATTGGAATAATTCAAGCCTCTGCATTTTAGCCAGAACGTAGCGGAGGAGGAATATAATCGCGTATAACAAAGTGAGAACTTTCTTCTGTAGAAATGTGCCGGTTTGGTTACATTTGGAAATCGGTGAAGGTAGGTTTTGATCAAGCAGACCAGGGCAGACTTGTTGCTGCGGTTTGCCGTGAGGTAATACAACGCACGGGTAGCGGCAAACACAGCCCTTGTCTCCAGGGGGTAGAAAGTTGTTGCAGAAGGATATCTGTCGGCCAATTTCACTAAAAGGAGCTGAAATTTAACAATTCAGTGTATGAAATTCGCCTAAATATTATTTAAAAATTAAATTCTTACCTCATAGAAATCGCACTATGCTACAAGCCGGAAGGTTGCAGGTTCGAATCCCCATCACGTCATTGGATTTTTCATTTCACCTAATCCTTCCAGTCGCACTATGGCCCCGGGGTCGACTCAGAATCTGTCAGAAATGAGTGCCAGGAATCTCACCTATCTCACCCTCACCTATCATCTGGGGCTGGTACATTAGGCCAGAAGTGATCGCAGTACAAGGGACTTAGTCCCACCCCACTAGCAATAAAAAGAAAATAGTATCCCTCAAAGTAGACGTGGTTGTATATGGCTTATTGTTTTTTTGTGTAGGACAGAAGCAAGGGTGCCTTCAGTAACGTTAGCACTTGATATTTGTAACCAAGAAAATTAATTTCGAAACAATTTTAACTTCAATAATTTACAGTGTGTTATCGAGAAAATAGCTAGTCACAGTGGCCGCTCGGATCGTGGTTTCGAATCCCACTCAAGGCGTGGATGTCTGTGTGCGTTTAATCTGTGTTTCTTTGTTCTGTGTGTAGATAGCGGCCTTGCGACGGGCTGATCCCCCGTCCTAGGAGTCCTACAGCCTGTGTATAGGATTAAGAAATTTGAAAAAGAGGCCAAGGACGAATAAAGGGCTGTAGAACTATAGGTAGATAAAAGGTAAAACTGTCCCTGTAACAGATCGTGGAGGCCCATAGGCTTGTGAGACGCCGAGGTCCCCACATTTTCTAGACTATCGACTCACAGATAGCTGTGAGGTTGTCAGCCTACGCGCCGGCCGCCCTGTTGCCTCAGGAAGATTCCCGATACTTGTTTCCGTTTGAGGCTGAGTCGACCCCAGGGCCATAGTGCGGCTGGAAGGATTGGATGAATTGAAAAATCCAATGACCTGATCGGGAATGGAACCCGCAACCTTCCGGCTTCTGGCACAGTACCTCAACTAATTACGCTAAGGCGTTCCCCCCATATAGATAGATAGGCAGGTAGGTAGGTAGAATACGAAAATAATATTTTAGTAAATAGTTCTATCTTCTGGGATATATCGCTGTGTAGACCGTTAAATTGAACTGAATTTTCGGAGGGACATGTCTCGCCTCCATCTTCAGGGTTGAAGAAGCCAGCAAAAATCAGGTTTGCTGTCTGAAATACATTTCCATCTGACTTAACGGCGATGCACCCCAGAAGCTACCGCTTTGGGAACCTCAAATCCGACAGTGTTCTTGCAGCTACTGCAGATTTCCTAGGATTTGACAGGCGGGAAGTGACAGGAGGATGGAAAAAGTTTCACGAGGTGCTTTGTTTTATATATATATATATAATAAACGTTCTTAGTATGATAAAGAGTCAAGAAAGCTGAGATGGACTGGGTAGGTAAAACGCATGGAAAAGGAACTAAATTCATGCACACGTCGATTAGGAAAACCTGAAGAAAGAGACCATATGTAAAACCTAAGCTTAAATGGAAATATAATATTAAAATAAGATCTGCTAAGAGCTAATCGCATACTTTCCTTTGCTAGGACATTCACCACATAGAAAACAAAAAGAAATAATTTGTGGTACACAGACACACAGATATGGAGTTGATTCCATACGCCTCCTAACAAAAATTGAGGGAGAATACACAGACAGCCAGCAAGGTGACCTCATGAGCCTCATAAGCCTGAACAATTTGGAGGGGATACACAAGCAGCAAGGTAATATCATAAGCCTCCTTTTATTTTTTTCAAATTTGGGAAGTAGGCTGAAAATTGTTCAAAAAGGAAAAGTATTTAAAGGCGTGGGTCGGATACATTTGGTTAAATTAAGTACCAGCAGCAGGCTGTTACGAACACAGTAATGAATTCTCAGGTTGCATGAAATGCTAAATATCTCTTGGCAAGTTGGGCCAAGGCCGTCCCATAATTCAAGCGGTTAGTCGCTGGCTTACCACCGCGTCGGCCCGGGTTCGATCCCGAGTCTGGTCAAGTGGGATTTGTGGTGGACAAAGTGGCGCTGGGACGGGATTTCTCCGAGTACTTCGGTATCCCCTGCCAATCTTCATTCCACCAAATTCTCCATTATTGTAATCACATGGGGCAGGCTACAATAGGCCAATCAGTGGCCGCCGTGCCGAATGGACCAAGTTGGACTCCAGCCCCCCACTAAGCGAATTTAAAAAAACAAATCTATTGGCAATTTGGGCCAATGTCAACTTCTCAAAAGGGTTCTGCCTCATTTTGTTACATAATTGGGCCCAGTGTTGATTCAGCTCTTTGGGTGTTCGCCCAGTGCGAATATGTGCTGTGTTGCCAATGTTTCGCAAGTATATGCTTTGATCTTCAAGGTCGAAGTGAGCAGAGCGGGTTAATTTTCGTGTATATAAGATTTTAGTTCAACAGATTCTGCCCCCACCCCCCACCCGGGGTGGGTGTGGGCAGTGCTGCTGCCCAGCCCTGCCAGACAGGAACAATGGACAGGGGAAAGTATTCCAACGATCCAGGGACACTGATCATATTTCCCACGCGATTATATTTCGCAATGCTCTCACTGGGCACGATATTGCCAATTTTGCCACTGGCCATCAAAGTTCCACAGCTCACAGTTTGAAAAACACAGCGTTAGCGGATTCTATGTATTGTATTATGGAAGTATTGTTAGTGTTGGCTGAAGCAGACGAGCTTGAAGCTGTGTAGACCCGGCAACCATTAGCTAAGGTCTTAATGCCTTTCTGTCTGTCACGTGCTGACCCACTCTCTTCTGATTCGTCTTCCTTCAAGGAACCTTATCTCATGGCTCCTTAGACGTCTGAAATTCCCAGAGGACTTGAGAGAAAGTTCTTTACAAAGGAAGTATTAGTGGATCAAAGGGCTTAGACGCCTTCGGTTGCCACTGACTCGAGAGGTGTCGGAGAAGGCAGAAAGTGACTGTTCTGAAATGGAAGAATTAATGAGAGGGAACACGCAACACGAAGCGTAATTTGTAACTTAAGGAGTAAATACTGAGGAATCGGGGTTCGACTTCCGGCAGAGGAAAGATGTTTATCTATTATTCAAAGCGTTCAGATCAGCTTTGGGACTCACACAGCCTCATGTATTACTGGTAAAGGGACATTTTTCGTTCCAATAAGTGCTGAGTATAAGGTATAGAGATATACCTCCATTCCCCCATACAGCATCATGGCGTGGTGCGTAACTGAGCATAAGGAGAACGTTGCATTGCCTAGGAGTGAACTGTATGTAAACTGAGTTAGCAAAATGCGCATGCTCTAAATATATCGGCAAGTAAAGCACACGCCTTCATGTTAACAGCGCGTTTATAAAGTTTGAGGTTCTAATGGCGGTGATAATTCTTCCGGATTATAATACCGTGTAGTCTGGTAGGTGGGTACCATCCTTTCGGAAGAACATTGCAGAAATTGATGGATCTGAGATATCCACAGAACTATGAAGAGTTCTGTCTTCTTGGCTAGAGTGTCGTGTACTCCGATGAAATACAATCAATGTTTGGGAGGAATATTTTGCATCCATCTTCAGGATCTAAAAGTATGCCAAGGAACATACCATCAAGAAGCAGAGGTTTACTTGATGACTTTTCTTGTTTATTTATTGTGGATTACTCTCCTACCCTGAAGATGGAGGTGATATATTCCTCCGAAACATAGGCTTTCACCAGGCTACATTGTATTGTACCAGAGGTATTAGCACCCATCTACTATACAGTAAGTTTTCCCTGTGTATATGAGATTCCAGCCAATTAGTGTGCAAGGCATCTTAACCCAGACCATGGCTCTCAACTGACGGCACGCGAGCCGGATGTGTCCCGAATGCGTATCCTGGCTACCCATAAAGTACGCGATAAAGTTTCCCTCATCTTTTGGCTGGAAAGGAGGCTGCAAATCTTTTCGAGAAGAGAAGTTTAAGAAGAGCTCTCACCAAATATTCGGAGCAATTATTATGCCGATTTCCCGCGACAAGCAGCTTAGCAAAGCATTGAGTTAATCTCCCTCCTTTGTCGTTTGTAATATCGATATATTGCAGCCAAACTTAAGCACGGTCAAGCGGCAACGGCAAAAGAAATTCCGTGGCCTGTAGTCCGCAAGCGAACTATACCGAGCGGCCGCTTGTCGGCGAAGTTAATGTTAACTTTAGAGGATAGAAGGTGTCGCGTGGTCAGCGCAACAGATCCCCACGGCCGTTAATCTCGAGTTTCTAGACCGGAGCCGCTATTTCCTTGAAATAGCTCCTCAGTTATCCTCACGAGGGTGAGCGGACCCCGTT